AAAAGCTAAAATTTTTTGAAAAGACAAATAGACTATCTAGGGATAATATAATAGATAAGATAGAAGTCAAGGGAAGGGTTTTATAATGTATTGGGAGGGGGAGGGGGAGAAAGAGAGAGGTGGGGGGAAGAGAGAGAGGGGAGTTAGTTCAATAAACTTAAAGATGTAGCAAACGAATCTATTCATAATGAAACCAAAAGAGAAAAAACTGTAACCTCTGGAATATCTATCATCTCAGAGCTACTTGTAAATTCAAATTTCAAAAGAAATGGAAGTAAAAATTTGAAAACATGTTAGGAAAAAATTACCCAAATTTGAAAACTGTTGGATCCACAAATTTGAGAAGCTCAACAAAACATAAACAAACCAAGTATAAATAAATTACACTACGGCACTGCTGTAAGTCAATAATATAGAGGAAATCTGAAAAGCAGCCAGAGTACAAAAGTTACGTTATATGCAGAAGAACAAAGATAAGAATGATAGCAGGAATCTTCAACAACCATGCAAGCCTAAAGATAATGGAACAATATCTTAAGAACTTAAAGGAAAAAAACCTGTCAAGCTAGAATTCTATACGACTTAAAACTATTAGCCAACCAAAGTGATCTAATAGATGTTTCCATGTACAGAATAAAAACCTTCTTTGAATACATGTGAAGTACTCATTAAGACTGATACATTTTAGCCTATAAAATAGGTCTCAATTAACCAATATGAAAAAAATACAAATTATATTCTTTGAACACAATGAAATTCAACTAGAAAACAGTAAGAGAAAGATGGGAAATTCTGAAGTATTTGGAAACTAATGACACACTTAATTTATGAATCATAAGAAAGTCACAGAAAAAAAGAAAATATTTAGAACAAAATGAAAATAAACATCAAAATCTGTGGGGTACAATTAAAGCATCATATAGAAGAAAATTAGTGTTTGTGTAAATAGGTATGCTTTATACAGTACATAGCAATAAAAAATTATGGTATATAAAGTTTAAACAGAGAACATTTGAAAACAAAAAGTAGCCTAAATTCTACCTTAAAAACTAAAAAGAACAAATTAAACCAAAAATTAAACCCAAAGTAAACAGAAGGGAAAGAAATTATAAAGACAATGAAATATAAAAAAGAGAATAACCAATGGAAAAGCAAATAAAATAAAAAGCCTATTACTGAAAGAGCAAGAAAATTATCAGACACATAAATCGAAAAAATTGAATAGGGAATTAAAGTTTTTGTTTGTTTTGAGACAAGGTCATGCTATGTTGACCAGAACTAGCTTTGAATAAGGAAATAATCTCAATTCTACATACACTCTACATAATCTCAATTCTAAAATGAAATAATCTCTATTCTACATACACTCTTCCACAAAATATAACAGGAAACATTCACCAATTCATCTCATGAGGTCAGATTCATCCTAGTTAAAAAAAAAAAAAAGACAAAAGCGTTGTAAAAACTATGAAACCCTCACTAGGATAAAATCAAAACTTTGTTAAGAAAATATTAGTAAAAAGAATCCTGTGTTATATCATAAAAAAACAATTTCAAGTGAGGTTCATTCTGGGAATATAAGGTTACTCCAAAATTCCTAAAACCATTCATCAACAGAGTAAGGGAGAAAAATCTCTCAGTCATGCCAATAGATAAAGAAAAAGTATTAGATGAAAATTAACATCTGTTCCTTATAGACAGAGAAAGGAGGAAACTTCCTCAACACAGTGTAGATCTTATCAATGAGTACTGTGATTCACTCTAGCTAATCACTGAACCTACGGGTGGTCTTGGAAACTATGGACAAAAAAGTAGACAAAATATATGAGATAAATGCTTTCAGGCACTGAACAAGAGGAACCATGAAGCCCTATTTCATGCGCTAAATGAGAGTAAAACATAAAGCAACCCCCCATGACTACATAGACTAGGTACTTTCTCAACCCCTGTGCATAAAGGTGATGCTCAGGCAGAAAATGGCAAAGTTGCTGAGTTAGGCAAGGAAACAGAACAGAAATAGCTGGAATTTGTAGCAAGGTACTAGAGAAAAGGGATTCCAGAGGATATAAAGAAACTTGAACGGAGATTCACAACGGGTCCTTGGCCATGGTCTAAGGTTTATTTATGTCAGACAAGATTCTGTAATGCCTAGCAGAAATCTCCTTCTGTGGATGTCAGAACTGGGTCATAAGGTCTGAAAGACATTGTGCTTTTAGTTCAGAGTAAAAAGAGACTGTCAAGCATCTTAAGCATTTAGTTGAAACCCCAAAAAGGCTATACCTTAAGAATAAAAAATTCAAAACAGGAAAAGAACTTCCCTAACAAGAAAATCAAACCTCAAAGAACCAAAGAATAGCCATTAATTCAATCATCTGTCAGACTGAAATTGAATACCCTTTAAAGGAAGATAACACAATCCAGAACTCCTAGGAGATCTTCTATAATGTCCAACCTACAATTAAAATTACTAGATACATGAAAAAATAAGAAAGTATAATTCATTATCAAGAAAAAAAGAGAAGAAATCAATGAGACCCTGATGTATATGTTGAAATTAATAAATAAAAAATTGAATACAGACTTTATAAATATATTTGAGAACTTATAGGAATAGATGGTCATAATGAGGGCTGAGGTAGTGTATCCCAGGAGTGAAATGGAAACTTTAAAAAAGAATCAAATAAATTTTAAAATAAACGTACAGTAAATTTTGCAGCATACTGGCAACTGTAGAAATAAGGGTTATAAGCACAGATCAACAGAAATTATCCAATTTGATAAATAGAAAAAAGCTAAATTACAATAAAATAAAATCACAGCAACCTGTAGAAGGTATCAGGAGTTTCAGAGGGAAGACAGAGAAAAAAAAAATGGGGTAGCAAAGTATTTTAAGAACAATGGCCAAAATCTTCCCAATCAGGTGAAAAGTTTGAATTTGCAGATATTTCTATAACCTGAGTAAGTACAAAAAGAATCAATATCACAGACATGTTGCTGAAAACCAAAGGTATGAAGAGAAAAACATCATCTTTAAAGTAACCCCAAGAAAAAAGACCCATTACAAACTGGAAACAATTACACTAGTGACTGGCATCTCACTAGAAACAATAGCCAGCATATAAAATGACATCCTGTTAAGTGCCAACTATTAGAATGGACAGAGGGAAAAAGAAAAAAAAAATCTAACATATTATTCACTTATATAATACTCTTCTAATGCAAAGTCAAAAGCATGTGCAGGGGCCGGGGTTATAGCTCAGTGGTAGAGTGGTTGCCTAGCATGCATGAGGCACTGGGTTCGATCCCCAGCACCACATAAAAATAAACAAATAAAATAAAGGTATTGTGTCTATCTACAACTAAAAATGTATTTTTTTAAAAAAGCATAGTATAAATGCTTATATTTGGCATAGTATACATAAAATTTAAATGACCTGGCCCATATTTATTTCTCCAGGCTTAGATCTCTCCAATCTCCACCTTACATTAAGTAGTCTCCTAAAAGAACTATGATGTCCTTAACTGTCAGGCCTTCTCATGATCTGTTTTTTTCTGCCCAGAACCTCTTTCCTTCATTCTTTGCCCAACTAACTCACACTCAACTAATTTAGAACTCTGTTCAGGTAGCTTTCGCTGAGTTTCAAACCGCAGTGCCTGATTCTTCACCTCAAGTCTGGATAAAACATACTTAAAATACAATAGCATCAAAGTTTTATTGTCCTGTATTCTAACTCATATATCTAATACATTAGTTTTGTTTATTTTGTTTATTTTGTGCAATTATGTTAAACTTACCTGACAAGTTGCTGACAAATCTGACATCCTGGAAGACATCTACAAAACATAAAAAGATAAATAACCCATAATCTCAATGGAAAACTTTTTAATTTTAAACTGAACTACATAAACCCACACAAAAGTATGAAACAAAGGTAAATAACGTATTTAGTTTTTCAATAGATATCATAGATCATGTGTACATTGACTTGTATGTAAGTTAACATTTTAAATTCACATAGCTTCCTTATTTTAAATGAAATCAGTTTTGATATAAAATCTACAAAGCATAAGAGAAAACACTGACAGATTTAAATACACAAAAACATATTCATACATGGCAAAAATTTGCCACTAATAAAGTCTAAAGACAAACTGAGAAAAACAATTTTGCAAAGGCCTAGTTTTCTAATATATAATTTCCTCATATCAATTTTTAAATCTAATATCAAAAAGAAAAAGTACATGGTTCACAGTAAAAGCATATATATGAAGAGATTTGATTAGTAAAGATTTTAAAACAATATTTGAGGACAATGTCTTAGTAAGAAAATAGAAAAACTGTTGCATCTATCTGGTGGGAGTTGTATACTGATATCATCTCTATGGAAGGCAACTTTGACAACACTCATCAAAATAAAAGATACAGTTTCCTCTTCACACTCTAATGCCAGTTCTAAGATCATGGATCAAAAAAGACCTGTG